GATAACGTAAACGGTCATGACCCCTTCATTGAATCCACGATGGTTAAGAAATAAACCTCTGATCGCTTCCCTCGTGAATTAGTTTTCGGCATCGTGCAAAGTTGCAGCCGTGGTTAGGAGAATGAAAACGTTTCATCCACCAATGCCACACTCGTAAAGTATTGGAAATCCAGCGGGAAAACGGAGAGGCGCGTTTCTTCCAGCTCGGTCGGCTTAAGGACGAACACGGCCGACTTGAGTGCATGGAGAAGAGAACCTCCATTTTCAGAGTGCAAACGATCGCCCAGAATCCGATCGGCTGCATGGAGTTCAATGTCATGTTTCTAATGTACTCGGTGATTTTTTTTCCACAAAATTCGTTCGTAGGTATAGAGGATGCTTCAGTAATGTCTGCGCATAGTTCCGTCAATCCAGGCTACATCTAGAAAAATATAGTCTAGGATACCCCAAGCCGTTGTCATTCACAAGCGTACCAATACACAATAATTTGTTGTCCTTCGCAAAACCTACGGCCTAGAAGAGCGTAGGCTTGTATATGAGGTAGCAAATTTATAGGTCGAACTAAAGTTCATGAATTCCGACTTATAAATCTGAGCCCAATGGTCTTGGATTCTCAAAAGCAGGACAATTGCCCGTCGTGCATACGCTGAACCGCAAGAGCTACATGAGTATGAGACTTGTGATTTAAGATGGTTCCATCTGAACTGATCGTTTTGAAGAAATGGTTGGAGGGGAAAACGTTCTCGTTATCCCGTTAGTCAACCTAACATGCCAGGAATAGTACAACAAATTGGATATACTCCTCATTCTAAAGGCAATTCCAGTTACAACCTCTGTGTACGTTCCATCGACTGTCAGTGAGTGAGTAGCCCGATAGGGAGACTTTTTGAGCCAAACTGAAGTAATATTTCAGGACAAGTAGCTGGCTAACGACGTTCAGCACTGACAGACGCCATGCTCAATTTGTCTTGCCGGACTCCTTAAAGCTTTCACTGGTAACGTGCTACTTCCCTCGATGACGAGTGAGAAACAGAAAACTTTCTGACGCTCACTAATTGGAAAGAAATGATAAAACCAATGGAGCTTTGAAGTGTTGTGCCTTATTAACACATTGCGTATCGGATATTTTACCCCGTCGATCCGACCTAAGCCTCAGTTACTTCAGCCTTGTAGGCACCGAGTTATAGGCTATGACTTTTTCGGCCAAAGGCTAGACGAAAGAACTCAAAAACGGAGATCTCCGTGAGCAGTACGCAAAAAATGTTAAGAAGCAAATAAATAATCCACGTCAATACTTCCCAGAATTCATAGAGTTCCGTGGTATCTCCATTCGCCAGGTCATCCCCCCCCCCCCCGCTCTCTCATGGTCAGCTTCTGCTTTAGATTAATATTGCAGCGTAATATTCGTAGCATACCTGTAACGATCAATGTGTGAATACATGTCATGAAAAAAAAATTCCTTCCACCGTACAAACCTCGTTTCCAGGTCTTGAATGATGCCGTCCTTGAATCAATTGTCTCTTATTCCTTCATAGGTCCCCCGGTTCATAGTCCAATTTCTCCTGAAATTGATGGGTGCTTCGCACGCGTTGTCAGTTAACATAGAAGCTTCGAAAACATTCCAGCATATACAAATGCAAAGCCCCGCCCATCATTCCTTTGAAAATTTTTATACATAGTTTTAGAAAGTGTTGCAAGACTTTCTTTCCAACCCAATATCGTTGTCCAACCTTGTAAGGACATTACATAGGCTACATCGTAGGCCATTTTATAGAAAGGAGAATATGAGATTTAATTTGGGTAATATTTACTTATCGATTTCTTTTCAATCGGTCTTTTTTTCCGTGAATCTCTTGATGCAGCCGTCTCAGTTC